AGAAAACAAAGAACAAACAAGAAAGTTGTTCTAAGTTGTTTAGTGTAAAAAATTTAAATAATAAAAATTTTCTACTTTTTAAAATGGGCGCTTTACTAGAATGACCTTGTCAAGCAAATATTTGGACTGGAATGACTTTTATCTTTGAATATTACTAGAATGGACTTGAAAAAAAATTAATTCCTATGTTAACCTTTTTTTCTTTGAAGACAAAAAACGTATTTACGAAACTTCCATTAATGAGGACGAAATTTTTTCCCGCCAAAATGAAATAAGTCTACCATTCTGTTATGGTAGACTTATTAAACGTCTGGTAGACTTATTACGGTGAACACGATGGTAGACTTTTTTATAGTTGTGGTAGATTTATAAAATGTGGTAGACTTATTTGTAGTTCTGGTAGACTTAATATTGGGATCGGTAGACTTATTCGTAGTTGTGGTAGATTTATTAAGTTGTCGGTAGACTTATTACGGTTCAGGCAGTGGTAGACTTGTTAATAGTAGTGGCAGACTTATTTATAGTAGTGGTAGACTTATTGAAAGTAGTGGTAGACTTATTGAGTAGTAATGGTAGATTTATGCGTAGTAGTGGTAGACTTATTTATAGTGGTGGTAGATTTATTTTTCTGTGGTAGACTTATTTGTGGTTGTGGTAGATTTATTGTTGTGATCGGTAGACTTATTGATGATTCGTCCGACGGTAGACTTATTTATAGTCATATTAAATTTATTGCTGAGTGATAGACTTATTAGTAGTAGTGGTAGACTTATTTGTGGTTCGCGTAATGGTAGACTTGTTTATAGTAGTGGTAGATTTATAAGATTTGGTAGACTTATTTGTAGTACTGGTAGACTTAATTTTCACTTATTTGTAGCGATGGTAGATTTAATTTTTTGATCGGTAGACTTATTGATGTTTAGCGATGGTAGACTTATGTATAGTTGTGGTAGATTTATAATATCTGATAGACTTATCTTGAGTGGTGGTAGACTTAATTCTGGTTTCGCCCGATGGTAGACTTGTTTAACGTTGTGGTAGATTTGTAAAATTTGGTAGACTTATTTGTCTTTGTGGTAGACTTATTAAATCTTTTCAAAGTTTTACTAAAATGACCTTAATTTATTACAGTTGTGGTAGAGTTAATTTTGGTTGCGGTAGACTTATGATGTTCGCATAATGGTAGACTTATTTATAGTGATGGTAGATTTGTTTATCTATATTCAGTTACGATAGACTTGTTTCTGAATATTGAATGACGATTGACTTGTTGTGATTCGAATAAGCCTAATGGTAGACTTGTTTGTCGTAGAGTTAATTTTGGTAACGATAGACTTATCGATGTTCGCGCGATGGTAGACTTATTAATAGTATTGGTAGATTTGTTTGTCTATATTCAGTTACGATAGACTTGTTTCTAAATATTGAATGACGATAGACTTGTTGCGATTCGAATGAGCCTGATGGTTGACTTGATTGTGGTAATGGTAGATTTGTTTGACTATATTCAGTTACGATAGACTTGTTTCTGAATATTGAATGACGATAAACTTGTTGCGATTCGAATAAGCGTGATGGTAGACTTGTTTGTGGTAAGGGTAGATTTGTTTGGCTATATTCAGTTACGATAGACTTGTTTCTGAATATTGAATGACGATAGACTTGTTGTGATTCGAATAAGCCTGATGGTAGAATTGTTTGTCGTAGAGTTAATTTTGGTTACGGTAGACTTATCGATGTTCGCGCGATGGTAGACTTATTGATAGTATTGGTAGATTTGTTTGGTTATATTGCGTTATGACAGACTTGTTTCTGAATATTGAATGACGATAGACTTATTGCGATTCGAATGAGCGTGATGGTAGACTTGTTTGTGGTAGAGTTAATTTTGGTTACGGTAGACTTATCGATGTTCGCTCGATGGTAGACTTATTGATAGTATTGGTAGATTAGTTTGGTTATATTGCGTTACGACAAACTTATTTTTGAATATTGAATGACGATAGACTTGTTGCGATTCGAATGAGTGTGATGGTAGACTTGTTTGTCGTAGAGTTAACTGTGGTTTCGGTAGACTCATCAGGTGGTTCGCAACAAGAGGAAAAAACGCAAGTCTAATGACCACAACACTTACGACTGGCGTGGAGAAGCTGTTGGAGGTATATATGATTCTGGTAGACTTATTGAGTATTTATGGTAGACTTATTGAGTAGTAATGGTAGACTTATTGCGTAGTTATGGTAGATTTGTTAGGTGTTTTTAAGCGATGTTGTGGTAGACTTATATGTGAATGTGGTGGTAGACTTGCTGATCAGTCTTAAAGCGAGGTTGTGGTAGACTAATATGCAAATGTGGTGGTAGACTTGTTGGGTCGTTATGGTAGACTTATTGAGTAGTTATGGTAGATTTGTTACGCGTTTTTAAGTTGTGGTAGATTTGAACGTGTTTTTTAAATTTATGTTGTGGTTTCGTATATTGTACGGAGGCTAGGGTCATAAATGCAAGGATATGGACTGTCCAATAGATAAATGAAAATCAGATCGAAGTAACATGCGGGTCGTCAATGCATGTCGTCAATTTGACAGCAAAAAAGTATTTTTGCCGAAGGTTTGACTTGGATAAAATACCTTGTATCCATGCCATTGCAGCGCCGGAAGATGTGGCCTCCAAAGTTTGTAATCCACTTGAGGT